ACTGCCTTCGGCTCAAGTCATGATCCTGGAGTCCCGGGATCGAGTCCCGCATCGGGGTCCCTGCTTGGCAGGGAGTCTGCTTCTCCCTCTGACCCTCCCCACTCTCATGTGCTCTCTCTCATTCTCTCTCTCTCAAATAAATAAATAAAATCTTAAAAAAAGAAGTTCACACGCTAATAGTAATAAAATCTAACAGCATTTACTGTGGACTAAAACCTGTGCTAAGCCCTTTACACGCTGTAACGTGCCCTTCATTCACTCATCTCACAACTTATTATCAAGAGCCCAGTACGACAATAGGTGCTGAGATACCTCAGTGAACCAAACAGACAAAAATCCCTGAATTCACGGACCTCACAGTCTAGGGAGGTAGACAATAAAAGTTATAGACAAGTAAACTATGCAGTATGTCCAAAGGGTTAAGTACTTAGTTAAACTAAGTTTTTTAAAGGGGAGAGGGGTTTGGGAAGGGGCGTGTGGAGGAGCGTGCAGGTTGTAATTTTAAATATGGCACTCACCAGCTAAGGGGAGCCTAGAGCAAAGCCTTGAAGGAGGGCCCAAGTGAGCCGTGTGGACACGTGGCAGAGCACTCTGGCAGAGGAAGCGCCAGCACAAGGCTCCGAGGTCGGGAGTGTGCAGAGTGCCCAGGGAGCACAAGGAAGCCCATGTGGCTGGTCAGAGTGACCAAAAGAGATACATGGTGAGGCCAGAGAGGAAACCAAGGCCACGATGGGAGGGCCTGAAGGCCACTAAAGAGAACTCTAGCTCTTCTTCTGAGAGAAATGCGGAGCTGAATAGAAATGAAGTGTTCCAATTTATATTTTTCAGGATTACGCTGGCTGTAGGGTTAAGAATAGATTGTGAGGGGGGATTAGGAATCTTCTGTCAGAACCCAGGTGAGATGATGGTGGCTTGACCAAGGAGGTGGTGGTAGAGGGAAGAGCAATGCTCCACCTCTGGATGTAGAGACAATGGGAGTTTCCTAAAGAACGGAACAGTTCTGTTACTTTGTCTGGTGACAGATGGTAACTAGACTTATTGTGGTGATCATTTTGCAACATGTACAAAAACGTGAATCATTGTGTTGTATGCCTGAAACTAATATAATGTTGTATGTCATTTATACTTCAATTAAAAAATTGATTTGACTGGGGTGCCTGGGTGGCTCAGTCATTTAAGCATCCGACTCCTGATCTCAGTGCAAGTTCTGATCTCAGGGTTGTGAGTTCAAGCCCTGTGTTGGGCTCTACACTGGGCATGGAGCCTACTTAAAAAAAAAAAAAAAAAATTTATTTGATCGTGGAAAAAAAAAAAAACCTAACAGTTTGCAGATACGGGGTCTAAGATAAAGAAGGGAGCTAAGGATGACTCCGAGGTTTCTGGAGGATAAAACTACCATTAACTGAAATGGAAAAGACAGATTACAGGTAAGACAAGTTTCGAAAATGTGGAAATCTTGTCCTGGACGCACTCCATCTGAGATTATTCGACATCCAAATGGAGTTGTCAAGTAGGCAATTGGGTATATTAGTCTAGAGTCTAGAGGAGAGAAACAGGCTGGAGATACCAGTTTGACACTAGCAGTTAAAGCCATGAGAAACAATACAGTGGCAGAGTAAGTAAGCGAGGGAGGCCCAGGAACTGAGCTCGGAGGTATGCCGCCGCTTGCAGGTCAGGAGGGGGTCAAGCACAGGGGATGGAGGAGCAGCCAGGGAGGAAGAAGACACAAGAGTGTGGCATTGTGGAAATCAAAACGAACATCCCAGAAGAGAGAGTGCTCAATGGCACCCTACACATACATAATCCTTAGTGGATCCACCTGGGAAGCAAGGGTGGGAACACGGTCAAAATGTAAAGAGAGACTTGACACCTTCCACTATTTTTACCCTTAACAAAAAGACCTTCTGAGGAGAGAAAAGACCTCAAGTCATAACTGATGAATGTACCAGAGCTAAGAAGTAGGGATAGAAGGCAAGCCCTTGTGCAGGGACGGTAGCAGCAGCACCATCTTTTTTTTTTTTTTTTTTTAAGATTTTATTTATTTGACATAGAGCGACACAGCGAGAGAGGGAACACAAGCAGGGGGAGTGGGAGAGGGAGAAGCAGGCTCCCCACTGAGCAGGGAGCCTGATGCGGGGCTCAATCCCAGGACTCTGGGATCATGACCCGAGCCGAAGGCAGACGCTTAATGACTAAGCCACCCAGGCGCCCCCAGCAGCACCATCTTGTGCTCCATTATCCCTAAGTGTATGCACAAGCAGCTTACCTGAATATGAGGTGTACCTGCGACTGGCAGGGAAAGGGCCAGTCCCACCGCCAAATGGGGCACCTCCTGCACAGGTGCTCCATGGCGCCCACAGAGCATCCTCTGGGTTGTTTGAGGGACTAATTCTCACAAGTCTGCTTATTTTTTAACCCACACCTGCTGAAACCTTGTAGTCACACGCATAAAGGCTAACTGCCACAACCGAGAGAATGCGCAGAGGAAAACTTGGAGGCGATCGGCCTACATCAACTGAGAGGAGCCTGGGGCTCCTGAGGGCGTGCATCCCGGCTGAGCACATCCATATCTACCCCAAATGAAGCTTGACCTTTACAGCACCATGCCCCAGTGCCACAGACCAACTTCCAGCGCACTTCAGCACCATGCAGGAAGAGGCAGTACAGGGTCAGAGAAGAAGCTCAGACCTCGAAAGGCAGGAGACGTGGGTTCTGGTGCTGGCTCTACCATAAAAGCTGTGTGAAGGGGCGCCTGGGTGGCTCAGTTGGTTAAGCGACTGCCTTCGGTTTGGGTCATGATCCTGGAGTCCTGGGATCGAGTCCCGCATCGGGCTCCCTGCTCAGCGGGGAGTCTGCTTCTCCCTCTGACCCTCCCCCTCTCATGCTCTCTCTCATTCTCTCTCTCTCAAATAAATAAATAAAATCTTTAAAAAAAAAAAAAAAGCTGTGTGAAAACGGCCGAGCCCCTTATAAGTGCACAAAAGAACGGACCTCATCTCAACCTCGTGTTTCAAGAGTCTCGGTTTCCTCTTATGGACAGTAATACAGAGCACAGAGGTTAAAAGAATGGGCTTTGGAGTCAGGCTGCCCAGGTCTACTGTTCATTGTTAACCAACTTTCTGAAACCTCATTTTTAGTATCTATTAAATGTGGGTAACACATTTACATACCCCATGAAGAACTATAAAAACAAAATGCCTAGTAATGGTGTGGACTCTCCACTGCCTATCATAATGCTACTAGCCTCCCTATCTAATGAAGACATATTATTAGTAAGCTTCTGATAAAGATGTATACCAAATCACCTGAAATAATGTCAAGAACAAAGAAAATCACAATTTCGTTAGCCAAAAAAGTCAGAAGAATCAAAAAATTAATAGCAGAAGTGAAGTACTGTGCCATATGAGATTTACCTTGAACAGGGATCTCCCCATAGTTTGGTCTCTTATCTGACAGCGCTGTCAGGGGTTTGGATGTAGAGATTGGTCCACTTATGGAATGTCTCTGAAATCATAACATAAACAGTGTCATAGTTAGCATAATTCTAGAGCTGGGACTCACAAATAAAGTCAACATTGCAGAAAGTAGTATTTAGTTATGAATCGCCATCATTCTTTCCATATTGTTGTAGTAAGACTAAAACACATACACACACACACATACTTAGAGGCATATAATATGATCAATACACTATTTAAAAAATTTATACAGAAATATCCCCTGTGCCCATTACTCAGTTTTCCCCAATGGTAACATTTACAGCAAACTATCTCAACCAGTATACTGACATTGTTTTGTTTAAAGAGAATTCTTAACTATTACACACCAATTGGCGAAATACGGACGTGCTCCTACCACAAGAGCCCCAGTACAACCTGTCATCTTAATTCAGCGCCACCACAATGGCTCTGCCCCTGGCTTCCTCATCTCCGGATGGATACATGCGTCCCTCTGCGTGCAGCCACAAGTACCCGCCACAAATACCTCCTCTCAGTTCCTCAGCTTCATCTCCTGCCACCTCTGTGTAATGCTCAAATACCACCAAACTATTCATTTCCACACAGACCATGGTGTTTACCGTCACCGTCCTTTCTGTCGTGCTTATTTTCCCAGCTTTTCCCCCAGCCCTTTTTTATCTAGCGAACCTTTAACTACTCATTTTGTATTTCCCAGCAGAAACGTGTGTGAGGTTCAGTCTCTTCACATTCTTACCAACACTTGAGACTGTCTTTCAGTTTTAGCCATCCTAAAGGGTACATAGTGGAAGCCTACTGTGAATTTAATTTTTACTTCCCCAGTTGACTAATGATGTTGAACATCTTTTCATGTGTTTACTGGCCATTTGTGTATCTTCTCTAAGGAAGGGACTTTTAAAATCTTTTGTCTACTATTTACTGGTTTGTCTTCAATCAAGAAGACGAAAATGTCTTCTTGGAATATGAGTGTTTTGACAGATAAATGTATTGTGATTATATTCTCCTGAGTCTATAACTTATCTTTCATTTTCTTAATGTCTCTCAGAACTTTCAAATTTTGATGTCCAATTTATCAGTTTTCTTTCATGGCTCCTTCTTTTTATGTCCTAAATAAGAAATCTTGGCCTTCTCGAAGGTCAGGATGATTTTCTCTAATGTTTTCATCTAGAAGTTTTGTAGTTTTAGCTTTCACATGTAGGTCTACAATATTTAATTTTTATAAATGCCATGAGGTAACAGTTGTGGTTATTTTTTTTTCCACATAGATTCTAGCTGTTCCGGAATCCTGTGTTGGAAAGGCTACCCCTCTCCCATTTAATTATCTTGGCAGCTCTGCTGAAAATCAGCTGACCTATTTCTGGATTATCTAATCTACTGACGTAATGTCTACATTTAAACTTATGTCAGTAAGTGCAGCTGCTGGTACTCTGGCTATCTGTGGGATGGGGAGTTTATCAGCTTAATGAAGATTTCAAATAAACAAACAAACTGTCAGTACCACAATGTCTTGATTACTCTAAGTGCTGAAATCAGGTAGGATAAGTCCTCCAAATTTGTTTCCTTTTTTTTTTTTAATCTCCCAGATGCTTTGGATGGATATTCAGGGTCCTTTGAATTTCCATATAAATTTAAAACTGTATTATCAATTTCTACAAAATAGCATGCAGGATTATCACTGGGACTGTGTTGAATCTACAGATCAATGTGAGGGAGAGCTGTAAGATAATAACACTACTGAGTCTTCCAGTTCATGAATGTATCTCTCCACTTATTACTTCTTCAATTTCTCTCAGCAATATTTTATACTTTCTGCTCTACAGATCTTACAACAGCATTTCATTAAATGTATTGCTAAGTATTTCAATTTTCTTTTTCTTTTCTTTTTTTAAGATTTTATTTATTTATTTGACAGAGAGAGACAGAGCAAGAGAGGGAACACAAGCAGGGGGAGTGGGAGAGGGAAAAGCAGGCTTCCCGCCCAGCAAGGAGCCCGACGCAGGGCTCAATCCCAGGACCCTGGGATCATGACCTGAGCCGAAGGCAGACGCTTAACGACTGAGCCACCCAGGTGCCCCTAAGTATTTCAATTTTCAATGGTTCACTGGAGTGACTGGATCTAAGAGAGAGCAAGAGGAATCCTCAAGACAGAAGCTAATCTTTTTTATAATCTTACCTTGTGATGTCCCACCCCTTTTGCCATACTCTATTCATCAGAAATGAGTCGTGAAGTCCAGCCAACACTCAAGAGGAGCAAGATTCCACAAGAGCGTGACTTCTGGGAGGTGAGAGTCACTAAGAAGTATTTCAGAGGCTGAGTACCCCAGTTACTTATGGATCTCCTTGGCTTTTTTGAGGTTTACTTTTAAGGTCTTTCAGGGCAGGTCTAGCATAGTACGTACTCGAGAGCTGCAATGCAGTTCTACTTTAGGGTGTGGCCCTCAGGGGTCTCTAAGGAATGCTCCAAGTATTCCAGGATTTCTCCACGGTGACCAGTGGGAACTCATGATTCCCTGCCCTGTGTGAACTATGGGAAGTGTTTACCTGACAGCTCCCTGGTAACGTTCTTTCCTGGGAAACTGTTCTTACTCAGCCTTGTGGGGGTTCACCCTGTGCCTGTGCAGACTGGCATTCAGGCAAAGACTTACAGGGATGCCTTTGCAGAGGTCCTCCCTCTGTGTAGCTCCCTCCTCCCAGGTCCTCTGCCCTGCAAATTCCAGCACTCTCATTCTCCCTGGACACCGATCTGTGTCTCCTCAGACCCAGCTAGTTCCCCCTTCCTGGCTCCATCTGGCTTCATCCCCCCTGCACCACCATCTGGAACCTCCCAACAGGAAAAGTGTGGGCCCAGAAGGACTTTAATTTAAGTACCACCGTCTCATACTGCCTGCTGTACATTTCTGAATGTAATTTCTTCCTATAATTTGTCCAGCTTTCGAGTTGCTTGGGGTGGCAGAGTAATCCAGCCTGTCACTCCCTTGTAGCCAGAAGTAGAATTCCCACTCAGGGAGTTTTGAAAAACTAACAATCCCAATCTTAGGCCATATTCCCTAGAGATTCTCGTTCACTAGGATGAGGCCTGGGAATCTATGTGTTTAAAACCTCTTCACACAGTTTTTATGCACAATTAGATCTGAGAAGGATTGTGCTAACCAAGTACTAAAAAGCTACTGAATGTGACTTGTAATTATTAACTTTTATCAAGTTACAGAGATGAGATTTTTCACCTCCTATCTTTATAAAGATTTACAAAGTCATGCTTTGTATATTAAACTTCAATGCATATAAAAAGCATTAAATCTATAGTAGGATTGGAATTCCCTTGCCTTCCTTGTAAATTAAGAGCATTAACATCTTCTGTACACATGCAAATGCAGAGCCACTAATTTGTAACATGACAAATGCAGAAGGAGTGCACTTTTATCCTAAATTTCACACAGGAAAAGGTTAAAAAGTAAAACAAAACAAAATAGCAACAGATTCACTTGTAAAATACATGGCCAATAGTTAACAAAGCACAAAAGTCTCCATTCAAAAATAAAACGCTCCCAAATCCTATTCTAGTTTTAGGGAAGAGGTATGGCTAAGGCTACCCTGTATCAAAGGGTACTAGGTACTAGGTTTATGGCCATTTTTCCTTTGGCTACTCTCACTTACATGGAAAAACTCCACCACAGCCCCTCTTTCCAAAAGTGGCTGACCAACAAGGGCACAACGAGAGGCCTCATGAGCACTACAGAGCAACAACCATCTCCCTTGCTTCTGGTCTACATTTCCACAGTGGCCAGGAAGAGCAACTTCAGAAACTTGTTTATAATGGATCAGCAATGCCCTTTGTGCTAGACTGCTAAAAAATGGCCCATAATGAATCTTCTGCAGAAACCCCCAACTCTGACTCTGGGCTAGCCTTATGACTTGGTTGGAGCTTGAGACACTGCACCATGAAGGAACCTGAGAGGAAAGACCACATGGAGAGAGTGGCCTGGCCATCCTTGCTGAGCCCAGGCCCCACCCCTCCCTGTGGCTAAGTGCAGCTGCAGGAATGAGCCCACACGAAGTCAGCCTAGGCAACACATAAATGTGAAAAATCATACAACTGCTCTTTTAAACAACCAAGCTTTGAAGTGATTTGTTAGGTAGCAGAGGCTGACACACAACAACTACATATTCTACTTAGAGAGATGGTCCCTGAAGCCACACTGCCCTGGTTCAAATCCCAGCTCTACCACGTCTTCATTAGATGACCCTCAGCAAGTTGCTTAACCTTTCTGGGCCTCAGTTTCCACATGTGAAAACTAGAGGTAAGAATAGTACCTGATACCCAACAGGGCTGTTCTGACAATTAAATGAGTTCACATTATAAAGTACATGGAATAGGGTAGAACACATAGCAAGTGCTCAATATTTGTTAGCTATCACTATTACTTTCAGAAGAGTAACACAATGGACATTTTCATAATTTATCTCAGTGAAGGATATTTACATTATTTTACAACCCTAACTACATTCTCACGAGATAGTCATTTGCCGCCCTAACATAAGTGTAAATGACTATTAGGAGGACGCACTTTCAGAGGCTGAGACCCCCACAGCCTCTAGGGTCACGGACACTTACCTGCATAGGCGAGACAGCTGCGGCAGGAGGAGTTTTCATAGGACTTGGACTCAAAGGTGTGCGAGGAATTGCGGCTGCAGTGGGGTTTGGTACTACAGAAACAAACAAACAAATACTGAATGCATCACGGTAGAGTGGAAGCTTTCATAGCTGGTGTCCCCTGAAAGATCCCCCAGACTATACCCAATGCTCTGGCTCCCTTGGAAGCTGTCCTGAGGCCTAACCTCCATGGAGCGCTCACAGTCGTGCCTAGCAGGTGGTGCTTCTCCTGCCACGAGGCGGATTGTCTGTTCCCTAGAGTAGTTGTGTTGATTCCCAACCTGGTTATGCCAGTCATTTCATTTTTGCCATTTCATTAACATAGGTAGTTAAAGAGCTCCATGAGCCAATGAAATTCAAGTTCAAAAAACCCAAGAGGAGTATTTCTGAAACTGCATCAGGTGAGAAGCCTGGCCCACAGTGGATGTGCATTCAATGAAGGAACACTGGAAAACAAAAACAAACAAAAAACAAAGGAACACTGGGCTCCCATTCATCTTTTCTCATCTCCTCCTGTGGAGTTCATCACTTCACTTAGCAAGTACTTTCTGGTTTGCATTTAATGCGTGGATGTGTAATTATTTGCTCACATGTCAGTCTCCTTCTCTTGACTGAACTATTCAAAAGTCGGACCCATAATTTACTCACATCCAGATACCTGGGCTTGACACAGATTTTGGTAGAGGGTGCATAAAAATGGTTATTTGTTTGAAGCTAAATTAAAATCAAAATGGGACACAAAGATAAAATCAGGCACATCACACAGTGAGAAAAGATGAAGAAGCAGATCACTGTGGACCTTTTTATGCAACCAAGTACACATATTTAAATTGCTATTTTTAGATGCATTCTTTTACTGAGATAAAATTCACATAATAGGGGTACCTGGCTGGCTCAGTCAATACAGCATGCTACTCTTAATCTCAGGGTTGTGAGTTCGAGCCCCATGTTAGGTATGGAGCCTACTTAAAATAAAAAGATTTTTTTTTAAATTCACATAATAGGGGCACCTGGGCAGCTCAGTGGTTAAGCGGCTGCCTTCGGCTCAGGTCATGATCCCAGGGTCCTGGGTTCGAGCCCACACTGGGCTCCCTGCTTGATAGGCAGCCTGTTTCTCCCTCTCCACCACTTGTGCTCTCTTGCACACACTCTCTCTCAAATAAATAAAATCACATAATAGAAAGTAAATAATTTCAAAATGTAGAGTTCAACGGTATTTAGTACATTCACAATATTGTGCAGTCATCATCACTTCTACCTAGTTCCAAAATATCCCAGTATCTCTTAAGCAATCACTCCCCATCTATCTCTTCCCCAGTCTTTGGCAACTGCCAAACTGCTTTCTGTCTCTATGGACTTACTAATCTCCATATTTCATATAAATGAAGTCTTATAATCCTCGGCCTTTTGTGTCTGGCTGCTTTCACTTAGCATGTTTTCTACATGGTAGTATATATTAGTACTTCATTCCTTCTATGGCTGAATAAAATTCCATCAGATGGACAAACCACATTCTGTTTATCCATTCATCAACTGATGGACAGCTGGGCTGTTTCCATGTTTTGGCTATTGTGAATAGTGCTACCATGAACACTCATGTACAAGTTATTTGAATACTTGTGTTAACTTCTTTTGCGTATATAATTAAGCAGTGGAACTACGGAGTCATTTAGATCTATCTTATTGTAAAATATTGTTTTTTTTAAAAGACCAGTATAGAAGCAGATTTATCTTTTTGCATTAGAGCCCATTTCATCAATATTTTGAATAACTGCATGACTTTAGTACAGACATTCCATTATCATTTCATTTTAGAAGTACAGATTTTTGTCTTTCTTTCATCTCAGTCTGTCATATTTACCCAGAGGTAGCCAGTAACAATAGTTTCAAGTGCATCTTTCCTGTACTTTTAAGGCAAAAATCTATGTACTTAAAAAAGCAAAATGAGATCACATTATATAATATTGGTCTGCAACTTACTATAAAGGATTGCAGGTATATTTTAACACCAGTACTTCAAGATTTACCCCATCCTTATAAAAGAGTGCATAGTATTCTACTGTATTAATGGGTCATAACTGACTTAATCCTTTTAATGGGCACGTAAGCAATTTCCAGGTTTTCCCTTTTTTTCAAACAATCCCACACTGAAAACTTTATGTGTACATCTGTATCTATATCTGTATCTTTAAAAACTTGTGCCAGTATCATGTATAAGAACTTCAGGGTCTATGAATATGGCATTATAAATTGGAAAATATTGTCTTCCAAAATATCTGTACCAACACTGTGAGTATATAAGTGACTTTTGCTCTGATTTTAAGTCAAGAAAACTAATTTGTGTACAGTCACAGAATATAGATTATGGAAACTCTACTATTATTAGGGTGAATCAGAATAAAGCCTATCATGAAGTTTAAAGAATTTTTAGAAGAAAATGTAAGTTTCAGGACACATTACATTCAGTTGTTTTTTTGTTTTTTTTTCTTTTTAAGATTTTATTTGAGAGAGAGTGAAGGTGCATGTGGGGGGGTGGGACAGAGGGAGAGAGTCTTAAGCCGACTCTGCACTGAGGGCGGAGCCCAACCCGGGCCTTGATCTCACAACCCTGAGATCATGACCTGAGCCAAAACCAAGAGTTGGATGCTTAATTGACTGCGTGTCCCTCTATTTTGTGTTTTTAAGATTTAATTTTTTAAATTTTTTTTTAAAGATTTTATTTGAGAGAACGAGTGAGAGAGATCACAGAGGGAGAGGGAGAAGCATACTTGCCGCTGAGTGGAGAGCCCGATGCGGGGCTCAATCCCAGGTCCTTGGGATCATGACCTGAGCCAAAGGCAGATGCTTAACCGACTGAGCCACCCAGGCTCTCCAAGATTTTATTTTTTAAGCCCCAACATGGGGCTCAGACTCACAACCCCAGAATCAAGAGTCACATGCTCTACCAATTGAGCCAGATGGGTGCCTCCATTTAATTTTTTTAAAAAACTACATCCCTTTCCCTATCCCAGAGCTGAGGGGGTTAGAGAGACGAAAAGGAGCCAGTCATTTGAAGGTGGGAAGTGAGCTTCCAGGTACAGAAGAGCCTGTGTGATATGGAGCCTGGCCTGCTTTGGGACCTGCAGTCCATTGTGGCAGGAATATAGAGGGCAGAGGAAGAGTGGTTCAACTGAGGTAAGAGGAAGGTAGGGTCAGACCATGCACGCATCTGGGGATCTGAACTTCACTAACTATGATAAAGAAATTAAAGGAGTTTAAGCAAGAAAAGATCTTTCTGTCATAAAATGAAATGGAGAGACTGATTAGGAGGTCACTGAAATTAGAAGCTGATGGTGGTTTGTACTAGCAGTTGATTGTGCACTAGAGATGGAGAGGAGTATGGGGCACCTGGGTTGCTTAGTGGGTTAAGCGTCTGCCTTCGGCTCAGGTCATGATCCCGGAGTCCCAGGATCGAGCCCTGCATCGGCTCCCTGCTTGGCGGGGAGTCTGCTTCTCCCTCTGCGCCTCACCCCACTCATGTTCTCTCTCTCTTTCTCTCAAATAAATAAGTAAAATCTTAGAAAAAAGAGAGAGAGAGAGATGGAGAGAAGTAGACAGAGCAAAGATGTGCATGCTGGAGGCTAGATCCACATGGCCTGCTAATGGATTACATGTGGAAGTGAGAAAGAAGAAGGATTTAAGGAAGAAGGAGGAAAGTGAGAAAGAAGGATTTAAGGAAGAAGGAGGATTCCTGGATTTCTGGCTTGAGTAACTGGGTAGAATGGTGCTGCCACTTACACAGGGGAAAGTCTGAAGCTCAGGGGCAAGAGTGCAGTTTTGGACATAAAATGTCTAGGAGATATCTGAGTGTCAATGTCAAGGAGGCCTTTGGATTTACAGACCTACAGAGTTCAGAGGAAGGGAAAGGGCTGAATTTATACATCTGGAGGTTTTTAGGCATACAGAAGACACTCAGAGCCCCAGGACTATGTGAAGACACATTTCTGCAAGGGGAAAGCCACCAAGTCTGAGACCAAGATCTCTGAAGCTGAACAGATCCCAAGTCTCCTGCTAAAATTCACCTGATAGTAAGACTAACTCATTAATACTACATGAAATTTGATGAGGCTCAGAGAGTTAAGATGGTAAAGAATATCAAACCAGACCAGAGAACAGATGGTAAGTGAATGACGACTGCCTGCCCTTGGCATAGGATATAAGAAATTACCTTGCGATGCACTGTCAAAGGACTTGATGAGGGTTTTCACCGTAGGGGTTGGCTCGGAGGAAGTTGAGGACCTTCTACTCAGTCCCATCCCTTGCCTTAAGGCTGCCAAGTCTCTCTCCACAGCATTCATGTAGTTGTACACCCGGCCTCGCTCCTCCTCTTGCCTGAAAACAATAGTGAAATCAGGCATTTTTACACACATACTAGCAAATACACATTTTCACCTCCCTACTGAAAAGCATTAAAAAGTATCACTTTTAAAAAAGACAGTATCGGGGTGCCTGGGTGGCTCAGTTGGTTGAGCGACTGCCTTCGGCTCAGGTCATGATCCTGGAGTCCCGGGATCGAGTCCCGCATCGGGCTCCCTGCTTGGCGGAGAGTCTGCTTCTCCCTCTGACCCTAACCCCTCTCATGTGTTCTCTCTCTCTCATTCTCTCTCTCTCAAATAAATAAATAAAATCTTTAAAAAAAAAAAAGACAGTATCGGTAGAGCTGAGTAAATTACCTAGTCTAATATTCTCATTTGTTTGATAAATTCCAGGAAATGATATTAAAATTTTTATATCAGGTTGTACTAAATAGGTTTAAAAGTAACCATCAGAATCCATTTTCATCTGAGTAAGTGTAAGGTGAGGACATCAGTAATAAATTAGCAGTAAAATGGAAGTGGACTGGCCAAAAAGAACCTGACTCAGAACTGGGATCTTGAGGTTCTGTCCTGTTTTGAGGAGTCTGGGAATTCACCAGTACATATGGGTTATCTATATTGGCCCTATCTAATACGCCATGCACAGAAATGAAAATACAAAAGAAATGAAATCAAAGTTCATATTCTTTAAAACAAACCCTCTGTAATCTCCAAACAGAATTTCTACACAGGAAACAAAAAAACAAAACAAAACCTAGGCCCTATTAGTAACATGAGTCTCTGAGATGCTCAGTGGATGGATCATGAGTCATCTAAAAAAATCAATTACATTTTATTTCTGGCTAGCTCTAATTCGCTGAGCTGACTAATACAGAAGTTTTCATCTGGAACGAGATTTCAGTTGCAGAGCTTGTACATGCCATATAACCATGAAATAAGTTTATAGGTAGACAAAAACTAAGCCAGTTCTTGGGAAAATTTGGTAGCTATTTGGCTCTTCTGATAGATGTACCACAGGGTCTCATGCTGGTCTCAAATTGGTTTGTTTTTTTTTTAAGATTTTATTTATTTATCTGAGAGAGAGAGAATGTGTGTGTGTACAAGCCGGGGAGAGAGGAAGAAGGAGAGGGAGAAGGAGACTCCCCGCTGAGCAGGGAGCCCGATGTGGGGCTCAATCATGATCTGAGCCGAAGGCAGATGCTTAACCAATTGAGCCACCCAGGTGTCCCATCATGCTCAGAAGTTTTAACAAAGAATCTGTAACAGTGATTATCAAACCTTTTGGTCTTGGAGCCCCTTTCCACTTTTTTTTTTTTTTTTAAGATTCATTTATTTATTTGAGAGTGAGCAAGAGATAGAGCATGAGCAGGGGCAGAGGGAGAGGGAGAAGCAGACTCCCCGCTGAGCAGGGAGCCCAAAGCGGGGCTTGATCTCAGGACCCTGGGACATGACCGGAGCTGAAGGCAGATGCTTAACCGACTAGGCCACCCAGACCCTCCCCTTTCCACTCTTAAAATATCTCTTTAATGTCTGGCTTAACAGAATACTGTTAGATTCTCATCTCTATTCAATATACTGTGAGATAAAAAAAGAACAGGGCTCACCGATATGTAGCAGTTGAAAAAGAAAAGATTCTTTTAATGATATTAAAATAGATAATTGTGGCTTTTTAGACAACCGAGGCTGTTTTTCCTTGATACTATACCAAAATGTAGTAAGTGGTAGTTACTTAAAAGTTTGTTGCAATGTGGAATTTGAAACCATGTGAATAAACTTTTCCTACTCTGTCCATTAAAATTCCTCTAGTCTATCTTATACTGTAAATGGATCTTCTACCCATATGTGACTGCATTGGTCATACAGAAAATATTGGCTCACTGAATTACACAGTTTTTTCCAAATGTTGACATCTGTCATTATAGGATTTATTATTTAAAAGTCACATTTGTTAATATCACCAATGATCTCATCAGGAAACTCTCTAAACATAGAAGCTGCCAAGCTTGTGATGGCAGATACAAGTTTTCTAAAATCCTAACATTGACTTGAATTTCCACATTTTAGCACTGGCAACAGTCAGTTGTTTTCCTTGAAGTGACAGTGACAGTCTCTCTTCATTCACTTTCAAGGAATATCTACCAAATACCGAAGTCTGAATATCTGTAGTTTGTTTTAGGTTGAGTTGTTTTCTGACCAACAATCACAGAGCACTTTCCTTGAGACAACCTCATACTTGGGTATACAGCAGATACAGCGGAAGTGCTTTATGTATACTTCCCATTCATCACATGGAATGTTAAACAGAGTATATACTCAAGGACTGAGATTTAGTAAAATTAATTTACTGCTTCATCGAGGACATCTTTAGGACCTGATGGAATGATTCTTCGAGAGCAGAAATTTCAATTACTCAGGTTAACATCAGAATGAAACATTTCCAGGGGGTGGTGCAGTCAGTTAAGCATCCAACTCTTGGTTTCGAATCAGGTTGTGATCTCAGGGTCCTGAGATCTAGCTCCCTGTTGGGCTCCCACGCTCAGCACAGAGTCCACTTGAGATTCTTTCTCCCTCTCCCTCTGCCCCTCCCTGCTGCACACTCTCTTTCTCCCAAATAAATAAATCTTAAAAAAAAAAAAAAAGAATGAAACATTTTTGATACACCATTTCTTTAACAGTGTACAGAAAAAAGGTAATATAATATGAGTTTACACCAAGTGGAGAAACAATAATCTTCCACTTCAATCCATGTTCTGCTTAAGGAAGCCAAACAAAAATGGTTCAGTGATACTTTTCGCTGGGCCATACACTAGAGCTAGGCAACAATAAAACAAGATAGCTTTTCAAGTATATCCTGTTTTATTTTAAGTAGGCTCCACGCCCAACATGGAGCCCAAAACGGGGCTTGAACTCACAACCCTGAGATCAAGACCTGAGCTGAGATCAAGAGTCGGATGCCTAACCAATTGAGTCACCCAGGGGCCCCATAAATATTTTTCTAAATTTTTTCCTATGTCTACCTAAGATTTAGTTAAAGTAATGAATAATCAAATATTTTTTTTATAAAGTAAATTCTATGCCCAACTTGGGGCTCAAACTCATGACCCCAAGATCAAGTCATATGCTCTACTGACTGAGCCAGCCAGGCGCCCCTAGATAATCAAATTCTTTTTTTTTTTTTAAGATTT